ATGTATAAATAGTCATTCAAGGTGCATGCTATTTGTTTTTTATCAATCGCAAATGTACCATCTTTATTTTCAATTGCTTTTAATTGTTGATTTGCTTTTTATATATTTATACAATTCTTATGGATCACTATTGACTTTTTATAACTTTTAATTTTTTTTTCAACACAATTTTTCATATCGTTATATTCAATAATCAAGTTATTATATAAGCTGTATTGTTGGAGTCGCAACATTTTTAGCGGAGTCAGAATTGTTAAACAAAACCGTGACTCCAACTCCAAGTAAAACTTCGCCATATTGTACGTGCATGTACAAAAATATTTAACCTTTAAAGAACTTTTCATTAATAAAACAAAAAACAAAAAAAACTTTTTTGTAATTGCATTATATTTTTTAAAGAATTCAAAGAATTTTTCAAAAATTTTGCTTTTGAGTTGGAGTTGGAGTCGTACTCTGAAAAATTCAACATTTGAAGTCTGTACTTTTTTTTACGACTCCACACCCCGGTATATAAGCTTTTTATTAGTAAATAAACATTGTTTTTTGTTTTTTATTGCTTCAACTAACAGTTTAACCTGAGATTTTTTTGTCTATATGCTTTTGGAATATATATGACTTAAAAGCTAAATTATGGTGACCCATAAAAAATTTATAGCAATTGTTGATGTTTGTTAACATGTATTGATTAATTTTTAAATAGTTGCTTCTTATATAATTTAACCTGATGTTTACAGTTGGATTAAAAATAATCAATCTATCATTCACTAATATTCGTGGTCTTCGAAGTAACTATTCTTCTGTTAAGTCTTTTCAAAGTTCACCAGAACTTGCTCTTTGTGAGACTTATTTGAGTTCAGCTGTCTCATCTTGTGATTTTAGTGTTGATGGTTATCTTCCTTTAATTCATAAAGATTCCAATAGTCACATGCTTGGCCAAGGCATTTACATTCGTAAGAATTCACCCATTTGTCGGGAAACTAGGTTTGAATCTAAAGACTACTCTTTCATGTGCTTTTGTTTATCACTAACTCACTCTACCACCTTTCTCATTGTTCTTTATCGCTCTCCTTCATCTTAAGGCTGCACTGATATCGACCAGGCCCTCTCTCTTTATTTATCAGCCAATACTGTTGTTTTCAGTGACTTTGATGTTCATCACACTGAATGGCTAGGCTCTAGTGTCAGTAACTCTGCTGACGTTTAAGGTCACAACTTTTGCCTTTCTCAATCCTTTAAATAGTCAACTTTCCAAATCGCTTTCCAGACAACCAATCATTTACCTTCTCTACTTGACTTATGTCTTGTTTCTGATCCTATTTAGTGCTCAATTTCTCCAAATTCACCCTTAGGTGCCTCTGATCACAGTTTGATGTGCCTCTGATCACAGTTTGATCTCTCTAAAACTATTATCTCATTCTTCTTCATCATGTGAATCCCCTTATCATCGTACATCTTACAACTACCTTAAGCTGACTGGGACTCTTTCCGCGATTTTCTTCGTAGAAATTTTCTTGGGTAGAAATCTTTTCTCTTCCTGTTGACAAATGTGCTTCTTACATAACTCCGTGGATTAAAGCTGGCATGGAATTCTTTATTCCCTCTTGACGATTCCAGGTCAAACCTCACTCTTCTCCATGGTTTTCTTCACATTGTGTTGCTACAATTACCAATCGAAACCATTAATTCCATATCTATCAGCAAAACAATTCTCCAGAAAACAGATATCCTTCTTTTACTGCTAGGAACCATTGTAAAAAGGTTTTGTCTAATGCAAAAACCCGCTATTCTCAGATCATAAAATTTAATATTTCATTACAAAAATTAAGCTCTCGTGATTTCTGGAGAATTTTAAATAGTATCAATAATAAGGGAAAGTCTGTAATTCCACTTCTTTTGTATAGCTTTGCCACCTCACCTAAAGACAAAGCTAAATTATTTGCTAAAAACTTTTCATCAATATCATCTCTTGATTCCACTAGTTGTGTTCTACGTGATATAGCCGTCAAACAGGTTGATTCATTGCTTGACATTTGTATCACTCCAGCTTCTGTATCTAAAGTGATTTCCTGCTTAGACTCTTATACAGCTTGTAGCCTGGACAACATACCTGTTAGTCTTGCAGAAGTGTTCTCCGGAGCTGTTGTCTATACTTTCAAAACTATGAAAGTTGTTGTCTTGTTTTCCAGCCTGCTAGAAAGCTGCATCTGTTATCCCTATTTTTAAAAATTCTGGTGAGCAATCTGATTCGTCTAACTACCCTCCCATTAGTCTTCTTCCTATCATAAACTAGGTTTTTGATTCTTTAATTAATAAACACTTAATCTCTCATATTGAATCTAATAACTTACTTTCTGATCATCAATATGGATTTCAATCTTCTCATTCTACAGCTGATTTGCTAACAGTAATAACCGATAGGTTTTATTGTGCATTAGGTAAAGGTGGAGAGGGTAAGGCAATTGCTCTTGACATTTCTAAAGCGTTTCATAAGGTTTGACATGCTGGTTTTCTTCATAAACTTTCTTCTTGCGGTGTATCTGGAAACATCTTTAAGATTATTGAATCTAAAACTTAACACATGGTGAGGGTGTAACTCCAAGTTGTGGTAAGTGGTGTAAGTGGTGTAAGTGGTGCAAGTAGTGGTAAATGAATTATGTCTGAAACTCTGTTGTCATCATTGACAATTAATAAATTTTTAGATTTTTCAAAAGTTGGTTCTAAAACCATTTGCTAAAAAAAGCAATTGCCTAAACAATTTAAAAACCTATTAGGTTTTTACTATAACCAGATGAGTATGCATTTTTATTACCCCATATAATCTTTTCAAAGTTGAAATCACTTGAAATGAGTAAGCCCCAAAATAATCCTTTGTATTTTTGGTATCATATATTGAACTTATAATCAAGTTATTAGTTTCATCAGATGATCTAAGGAGCCTATAAAAGCATCCAAGTAATAATTTTTCTTCTGCTAATATTCAAGTATACCCATACTTGTTCATTATTTGTATTGTTAAGTTGGTCAATATTAACTTGTTTTTAATATAGATATAAACTCTACCAGAGTTTTTAATGTAGGTGCAAACTTTACCGCTTCTTTTATTATCTTAATTACGCCTATACAACTGGTAGTTTATTATATTTAAATCTGAAGTTTATTTAAACCAAAAACAAAAAAACCATAGAGTTTGTATGTTGCAACTAGTGCTCTGAAATCATCGATTTTGTTGATTAGTAATTCGCATTTTTTGGCAACACTTTAATGCTACTAATATTTTGTTTATCTTTTATATAGTTACCATAATCTTTACTATTAAGGCTATCAAAAGCATATATAGGTTCTTTAACCATTTTGATGTCATTTCTGATTGACAAAGTGTTATGTTTATTTCTAGTAATCATTGTGATTGAATTGATATTATTGTACATGCTTAAATACTAACCACTAATAATAATAATAATACTCTTTATTTCTTTCCAAGTGTTTTCAAGGCTATTTAGATTTAATTTGAAATAAGTAGAGTTATATGTTTCAAAATGTTAAAGCTTAACATTTTATGGAATAATATTTAATGTGATCAAACAATGGGATTTGCATGAATTGTTCAAGTCCCATTATTTGATCCCATTAAATGTTCTTGAATTTTATTGTTATATTTTTTTTCATTGGTAAAAGAAGACCTAAAAAGCAGTTTAAAGTTTTTTTAATCTATTTAGCTAAAAAACAGTAAAAAAAAAAATTCCACAAAGAACAAATAGGCCTCAACTGATTGACAAAAAATAAAAGAGATTATTTAGCTAAAAACAGATAGAAAAAAAAAAATAGAATTTTTTGATAAAAAATAATTTAGGAATATTAAAAAACAGATTAAAAAAAACCTTATAAGGAAAGCTTGGAAAAGAGAAAGGAGTGTTTCAAAACAGAAAAATATAATAAGTGAAAGTATATAAAGTAAATGTTTCAATACCAAAAATAAAAATTAAACCTTTATTAATAATAATATTATCAATTTAAACCATTTTAATAATTACAATGCTTCTTAGTAGAGTGCAAAAAAATCAAATTGACAGCTTTAGTTTTAAAATAGTGAAAATAAAAACCATATTAAATGAATTTAACCAAATAAAAAACTCATCAGCTGGGTATGATGGATTCTCTATAATCAAAAAAGAATAGTAACAGTAAAGAAATCTAAAAAACCTTAAAAGCCTATGTTGAGAGAGCTACTGGAAGGCAATGGTCTTACTCTAGAACTATTCAAAACCACATAAGATATCTTCTACAAGCATCAACAACTAAAACTTATTGCAGATGACATTACCCAATCAGCTGCAGACAAAGGCTTTGATATTATAGGGGCCAAAATATTCATTAAAGTCAACTTTTATTATTCAGTTATGTCATGTTCATATACTAATCAATCAGTGCAAGAAGAACTAGTAAATAAAGACTCTAAAGAACACTTTTTAAAATATAATTTGTAGAGGTAAAGCTATTTAACTGTAATTGTGTTTAAATTAAATAATGAGTGAAATAAAATAAATAATACTAATTTAAAAAATAACATGCCCTACCAACATGAACATCTACTGATGCGGCTGCTTTCTCGGTTGCTTCGTCGCTAACAAGTAATATTCGTATTTCGTTATCTAGAACTAGAAAGCAGTAATCTCTTGGGTCATTTTCAGACTTTTTAATGTCATATACTTTATGCTTGATGTAAGGATGAAAATTAATTTCACTAGACTGATTTAAATTTTCATAATCACTTGAATCAAGATTTTGTTTTAGCAACATTTCGTGTCAGTACTGAAGAATTTTTTTTTTTTTTTAGTGTTGTTGTTAAACCAACACGCAACCCTCTCCTATACACATACCGTGACGATCCACCGTGACAAACCGTCGTGACCAACTACCGTGAAGAACAACCATGACTACAGTCGAGAGGCCTTTGAGCGTGTTACTTCCAATAACAAAAACAATAATAATTACTAAAAATTGGGCAGATTTTTTTTGTAATTACAAAAATGACTTTTGTATACTGCATATGGCACTATCTGATTATTTATTACTCCGTTAGGGACACCTGAAACCCATAGTAACTATCCATTTCGCTTTTAATATACGTCATAAATTTTAATTAATTATTAATAAATTACGCTACCTAAAAATTTTTTACATATATAAGTAGATCGTTTGCGCTTCAATTTTATTAAAGTTTAAACTGCTACTTTATTTTTGATTTAAAGATTGATGAGTGTTTTTTGGTTTTGTTTTGTTTAAGGTAGCACATCCCCTTAAAAATCAAAAAAAATTCAATTTTTTTTTTTACTTGATTTTTATTCAAAATTTAACGGAGATTAATAATATAAAAATAGTTTCTTATAATTCAATTTAGTTTTTTAAATATTTTTGTTTTAGTGGACCATAGTTTTTCAGGCTTCCCTAGTTACCACCATAGCAACGGGTTTGATTGTTGGTTTTTTAACTTTCTAATCAGCTTTTTGGAGGAAACTTCAGTCTTAAAAGAATCTTGTTTGCCTAATGTTTGTAGCAGTGCTCAAAACAATTTTAGGATAAACTCCACAGCTTGAACATTACAAATTAGAACCACAACTTTGACTATATTGGAAAGCTTCTAAAAGCCACTTTTACTTCAAATTTGTTTGCAACTTTTTAACAAAAAAAATGACTCGCAGTACGATTAGAAAACGTAAATACAAGTTTAAAGGAAATCAGTACACATGCAATGATAAACAAAAAAATAGTTTACCTTCATTGCCAACTCTCTTTACCCCTCTGATAATATTGTTGTTGTTGGTAATTTTAATGCCCATCACACTGAATGGCTTGGCTCCAACACCACTGATCCTGCTGGCACTAAAGCCTTTAACTTCTGCGTTTCTCAATCTCTTACTCAGATAGTTAACTTTGTGACTCGTTTTCCTGACAACCCTAATCATTTACCTTCACTCCTTGACTTATGTCTTGTCTCTGACCCTAGCTTATGTTCAGTTTCTCCCTTTTCTCCCTTAGGTGGTTCTGACCATGCAATGATCTCTATAAATCTTTCTTCTCGTACTTCTTTTTTGGGCTCACCTTATCATCGCACCACCTACTACTACACTAAAGCTGACTGGGATTCCTTTCGTGATTTTCTTCGTGATGGTCCTTGGGCTGATGTTTTTTCTCTCTCAGCACACAAATGCGCCTCCTACATAACCTCCTGGATTCAGGCTGGAATGGAAGCTTTTATTCCTTCGCGTCGGTTTCAAGTCAAGCCTCATTCTACTCCATGGTTTTCTTCTTCTTGTGCGGCTGCTATATCCAATCGTAATCATTTTTTTCATCTTTTTCAAAAGAACAACTCTCTTGAGAACAAACGGCTATTTATTATTGCAAGAAATCGATGTAAAAAGGTGCTTTCTGATGCTAAACTCCATTATTCTCAGTTCACTAAATCTCGCATCTTATCACAGAAGTTAGGCTCTAAAGACTTTTGGAAAATCTTCAACAGCATTATTAACAAGGGTAGATCTAACATTCCATCTCTCATACATGGGACTGATCTTATTACCTCTCCCAAGGTTAAGGCAGAACTATTTGCAAAGAACTTTTCTTCTAATTCCACTCTTGAATCTTATGGACATTCTCTTCCTTCCGTTCCAGTCAAACAGGTTGACCCATTGTTAGACATTCAAATCACTCCGGCTTCTGTTGCTAAAGTCATATCTCAATTAAACTCGTCTACAGCTTGTAGTCCAGACAACATTCCTGTCACAGTCTTGCAGAATTTTTCTCCAGAACTTTCTTCAATTCTCTCTAAACTATTTAACAAGTGTTTGACTGAGTCTTGTTTTCCTGCTTGTTGGAAAATGGCATCTGTGGTTCCAATATTCAAAAACTCTGGAGATAATTCTGACCCCTCCAATTATCGTCCGATCAGTCTTCTTTCTGTTATTAGCAAGGTCTTTGAGTCTTTGATCAACAAATTCCTCACATCTCATCTTGAGTCAAATAAACTACTGTCAGACATTCAATACGGTTTTCGATCCTCTCGCTCTACGGCCGACTTGCTAACTGCTGTAACTGAAAGATTTTATCGTGCATTAGATGGAGGCGGTGAGGCTAGGGCTATTGCTCTCGACATATCTAAAGCTTTCAACAAAGTTTAGCATGCTGGTCTTCTCCATAAGCTTGCTTCATATGGTGTTTCTGGGAAAGTTTTTGAGATTATCAAATCATTTCTTTCTAACCGGTTTATTAAAGTCATCCTTGAAGGCCAACACTCTTCTTTATTTCCAGTAACTTCTGGGGTTCCCCAAGGTTCCATCATGGGCCCTGTTTTGTTTTTTTATCTACATAAACGATCTTCCTGACAACCTTTCATCTAAAGTAGCTCTTTTTGCTGATGGCTCAACTTTATAATCCTGTCTTGACAAAAAGTCTTCTCTTTTCGATCGCCTAGAACAAGCAGCTGATCTTGAATCCGATCTCACTTCAGTAATAGATTGGGGTTCACAGTGACTTGTGAATTTCAACTCTAACAAAACCCAGTTGTTTACTGCAAACAACTACCGTAATATGGTCAACATTCCTATATTAATGAATGGCAAAGCTTATACTGAGTCCTCCTCTTTACGTCCTTTTGGATTATCGCTTAGTACTGACCTTTCATGGAAACCATATATACAATCGATTGCTAAATTAGCTTCTGCTAAGGTTGCTTCTCTTTATCATGCTCGCCATTTCCTTACTTCTGGTTCCATTCTCTACCTCTACAAATCTCTTATTCGTCCCTGTATGGAATACTGTTGTCATATTTAGGCTGGTTCTTCTAACGATTCACTTTCTCTTCTTGACAAGGTCCAAAAATGCATTGTAAATGTTGTTGGACCTGGACTATCTGCTAAGCTTGAACCTCTTTCCCATCGTCGTAAAGTTGCATCTCTTTCTCTTTTCTACAAATACTATCATGGTCACTGCTCAAAGGAGTTATCATCTCTAGTTCCATCAACTAAAATTCATTCTCGTTTTACTCGTCATTCAGCTAAGTCTCATTCGTTTACTGTATCTGTCCCTGCATGCTCTATAAACTTTTATTTATCTAGTTTTTTTCCCCGCACTTCAATCCTTTGGAATTCTCTCCCATCTTCATGTTTTCCTGACTCATACAACCTTCAACTTTTCAAGTCTTCTGTCAACCGTTTCCTTGCTCTATAACTCTGTTCTTTTTTTTCCTAGTAACTCCCAACTTGATAGTGGTTGCTTGCAGCCTTGTTGGGAGTGAATGCAAATAAAAAATAAAAAATAAATAAAAAAATTGCAAGTTCAAAAATAACTTTTTTGCACTTGTACAAGTGCGAAAAAGTTATTTTCGAAAACTAAAACTACTTAAAATATTGAGTGTAACAATGAAGATTACAAGAGCAATTATAACTTTATTATGAACTTTTCTATATTAAAAAAAATATTTAGTAAGTATGTTTTTTGTCCTGAATGTGGAAATAATATTAATTTGCATGATAACATTGGGAAAAAAAATGGGATTTTGTTTACAACTTGAAATTTTTTGTGAAAGCTGTGATAAAATTATAGACACATTTAAAGCTTCAGCAATAATTAAAAGAAGTGCAGAAGTTAATACACAAGTTGTTGTTACTTTTAGAGAAATAGGAAAAGGATATACTTCCATAGAATCATTTAATAGTTGCATGAATATGCCAAGACCGATGACAAAAAAAACTATGGTAAAATAACAAAATTACTTCACAGTACTTATGTCGAAGCAGCTAATACTTCCATGTCAAAAGCTGCAAAAGAGACACATGATATTGTCTTGATGGGTGTCATCAGTGATTGCCATGTTTCTGTTAATGGAACATGGCAAAAAAGAGGTCGCGTATCCATAAATGGTGTTGTTACTTGATATCAACAAATAATCAAAAATGTGTTGACCATTTTGATTTATCAAAACAATGTAAAGGTTGTGAATATTGGAACAAAAGACAAAATGAACCTGGTTATAATAACTGGCAAAATAATCACATTTGTCTCATTAACCCTATAAAATCATCAGGATCAATGGAATCTGTGGGTGCTATTGAACTGTTTGGACGATCTGTGTAGAAGTATAAACTAAGGTATACATCTTATATAGGAGATGGAGATACATCTTCATACAATGATGTTAACAAATCTCAACCATATTGACCTAATGTTACTATTAATAAAAAAGAATGTGTCGGACATGTTCAAAAGCGTATGGGAACACGACTGGGAAACTTATGCCAATTAATGAAATTAAATATATTATTGGATGGGGGAAAAATAATGGGTAAAGGACGATAAACTGATAAAGCTATAAATACTTTGCAGAATTATTATGGTACTGCCATTAGGCAAAATCTTAACAGCATTTATGAAATGAAAAAGGGTATTTGGGCAACACTTTTCTATAACTCAGATGTTCTTGATGAAACTGAACGACATAAATTTTGTCCTCGAAACGTAAATAGCTGGTGCATGTGGCAGTCAAATAAACTAACAGGTAAATCAACTTACAAAGCCAAATTAAATCTTCCATTAGCAATAAATGAAATTTTAAAACCCATCTTTCAAGACTTGAGCATAGATGAATTATAATCGCAATGTTTGCATGGACAGACACAAAATAATAATGAAGCAATTAACAATTTCATTTGGAAAAAATGTCCTAAAGATGTTGATGTAAGTCGAAATATTTTTGAAATAGCTGTAGCATCTGTTGTTTTAGAGTTTAATGATGGAGCTAGTGGGATATATGAAGTTTTTCAAAAATTACAGATAAAGACCGGTCGATTTATGGACATAGAGACCATTAAAAAAAATAAGACTCGAATAGTTTATATGACAAAAAAGACTTCAACAGCTTGTATTAGCAGAAGAAAGTTACTAAGAGCTATGAAAAAAGGATTCATAGATAAAGAAAATGAAGAAAGAGCATCATATTCAATTTTAT